CCTCCAGCCTCAGCTGCCTGAGTAGCTGGGATTACAAGTGTATGCCACCACATGCAGATTATAGTCCCTCTTTTTTTTGATGGCTTGATAATTTCAAGCTGAAACCTACTAAAACTATACTCTTCTGATTGTGGGAAGCCTCTAAAAGGGAAGAGTATGTAAACATGGTATAATAAATGCTCAAAAATACACATTTAGTTCATTTTTGTATCTACTACATATTTTATAATGCATTTTCCAAGATTACTAAAATTCTCATAAAGCATTCTGTAATACTGCCATGTAATAAGAGGCACAATTGTTGCAGTCCCTGGGAAGTTGAAGTCCAATTGCTAAAATTGTAACAGCCATCAGAGTAATATATTTAATAACTAATGTAAACAACCCAAACTTTAAAAACAAGTGTAATGACCACATGAAATCTATGGTAATTCTGTATCTGAGTCAGTCTATATTATGATTCAACTTGCTTCCCTAACTTGCATTCATGATCAGTGTATGCCTGCATTTCCTAAGAATCTCTTTCATTTTAATTCCCCTGCTGCTATTCAAGGAGATCATTCTTTACTTTCTTAAAGAAAGCATTTTTCCAGGAGGACCAAATCAAATTGCAAAGTAAAACTGACCAAAGAACTGATCTGTCTCCTCTCTGCAGAACAGCTTTACACAGTGTTACTACTCTGGCACATTCCTTTTTTATTGCAGAGAGAGAAAAGTTATTATGCCAGACTCTATTACTTTGAGGTTACAAAGTAAAAGAAAGAAAGCATATTGGAAAGAATCTTCATTACAAATTAAAAATTTTAAATGCTAGGTACACAAACCATCTTAGTTATACATAAAACTACAAAAATCACAAATCCATGTACTCATTACCCAGTTTTAAACAGATATTAACATATTTTCTTATTTGCTTCCGCTCTTTAAAAGAGAAAAAGTTATAGATAGGGTTGAAGGAGCTCCATTCTGTTATCCACTTTACTAAAAATATATCTCAGTAAAACTATAAGTAGGTTCTTATACTTTTATGTACTTTCATTAGATATGTATCAATAAACAATGTATGCTATTATATTGTTTTAAAACTGTACATAAACATATCTTATCGTATATATTCTTTGACAACTTGCTTTTTTCAAATATGTACTTGCAACGTATCCATGTTGATACCTATAGATGTAATTCATTCCTTTTTAGTAACAGGTAAGTAGTCAATTGCATGAATAAACCAGTTTATCCATTTTCCTACTAATGTACAGTTGGATTGATCTACTTTATTGCTATTTCAAGAGCTGCTATAACCACCCTTGTTACATGTTTGTTTGGAAAACTGCCTCAAGTTTAGATAAGAAATTGGCCCCACAAAAACTTAGGCCGTGGAAGAAAAGAACCCTGGAGTGAATGTTAGCCCCCCAGAGGCCATCATTAGGTCTAGGTCTACACTACCATCTTCCTCATATAGAGACAAATGAACTGAAGACCTGTATAATGACTCAGAAGAAAAATATTTAAATAACATGATAATTAAGGAAGACATGAGTTGGTCAATTTGTGGGCTTAATGAGGCTAAAGCTAATCTCTCCGGGTATAATTCGCTGGCAGCAAAATGAACTTCTACCAAAAGCCCCAGTCTTTTTCTCATAAGAGTTAAGAGAACTGGATATTTTCTTCAAATCTGAAAAAACTGTACGATAGCCAAAAAAAAAAAAAAAAAGTATGCAATACCTCACTGACTTAAATATAACATCTACCCATGTGGATCAATAGTACATCTATATGCAGGCAAACATCGACTCATAAGCTACAGACAACACCATCATATATCCTGAGCAACAGGGGATACAGATAGGAAAATGGGTGCAATACTAAAAAGAACCAAGTCATAGTTTGTTGCTATTTTATTTATAGTTACCAAATACTTTCTCAAGGATTGACACCTTACAAAATCTATTACTTTGTTATTAAGGGTTAAAAGAAAAATAATTTGTTAAAAAAAAACCCTATCAAGAAAATCAACATCTCTTAATATAGATGGTATATGGTAGACTTAACTATGCAAAATTATAAAAAGAGATTTAGAAATCACTGAAAACCTCACAGCATTCCTCACAGTGATTGCATCAAAGCAGGCCTTCTTATACGATCTCAAAAATCACCACTCTACCTTCCTTCATAGTGTTTCAACTCTTATCTAGTCTCACATGAATACAAAATTATAGAAGGTTGTTGCAAGCCAGTGTTATTCTTTAAAAGGGACCCACAGTTACTGCTTTAAACACATGCTTTTCATAAAAAGGCAGATTAATGTACTCTTTCCACCTAATCACACAATAACTAAAATCAGGACTCTGAAGTTCTTAACACACCCTTTGCTTCTTAAACACTCAAATGTCCAAAATGTGACCAGTCATGGTGGTACATGCACTCTGAGTCCCAAGTATAATCAGCACTAAGGAGCTGAGGCAGGATAATCAAGACTAAGTCAGATGAAGATGCACCTCAGTGATAGATAGAGCGCTTGCCTAGCATTCACAAGGCCCTAGGTTTGTTTGATCCCCAGCACCACAAAAACAAAACAAAAGGAATCTTAACAACAACAACAATAAAAAATCCAGGCACCAGTAGCTCACGCCTATAATCTTAACTACTCAGCAGCCAGAGATCAGGAGGATCCTGGTTCGAAGCCAGCCTGGGCAATTAGTTCAAAAGACCCTAACTCAAAAATGTCCAACACAGAAGATAGTGGAGTTCCTCATATGGGAGAGAGCCTGCCTAGCAAGCATGAGGCCCCTGAGTTCAAACCCCAGTACCACCAAGGAAAAAACAAAAGAGAGAGAGAGAGAATATCAGCCCAGCCTGGGCTACATAGTGAGAGTGTCAAAAAAAAAAAAAAAAAAGCCCAAAGTGTTCTAAATGGCAATTTAAATTCTGAAACCGAAATACTGCCTAAATTAATTTTCTGGATCATTATTACTTAAATTTGTAGCATTGTGAAACAGCCTTAATTTTTCTTTTTTTTTTTTTTGTGGTATTGGGGTTTGAACTCAGGACCTCATGCTTGCTATGCAGGCACCCTCCCACTTGAGCCACTCTGCCAGTCTTTTTTTGTGTTGGGTATTTTCGGGATATGGTCTCTCGGAACTATTTGCCTGGGCTGGCCTCAAACTGCAATCCTCCTGATCTCTGCCTTCAGAGTACCTGGTGAGCCATCAGTGCCTGATCAGCTTTGAATTTTTCTTGCTATAACTGTGAACCTTGAATCTGCCAATAGTAGTCATACTTTTTTTTTTTTAACACATCAAAATGCCCTTATGGAATACCAAAGTTTTTACAGACCAACCTGAAATCGTATTTTCTCTAAATATAAGTATCATAAAATTATCTGGAAAACTTTCCTTGATTTAAAAAAGTGAACTATAGTTATTCCACTAAAACATAAGTTAACTTTTCTATCATTTAGGGGAAAATTAGTTTAGCTCATTATGCAGTGGAAGAACAACCTACTATTATAAAAAGAGTTAACATGTACTGAGCCCAGCATGGTGGTACACACCTATGATCTCAGCACTCCAGAAAGCTGAGACAGGAGGATTGTGAGTTGTAGGCCAGCCTAGGCTACATAATGAGATTCAGGCCAGCTTGGGCTATATATAGTGACATCTTGTCTCAATAAATAAATTAATTAAATAAAAGTTAAAGAAAGTTAATATGCACTGAATATTTACCAGGATCCAGGCATTGTAATAAATATGATATGTGAACCATTACAACATGTAAAGGTACTAATATGAGGAAAGTATTCTATCCCCAATTTACAGATCAAGAAACTGAGGCAAAGAGGTTCATTAATTCGCACAAAGATGGAAGTGGATGTAACTCCGGGTATGTCCAGACCCAAAACCTAGAATCTTAACCACTATGCTTTTATTATTAAAGTTAAAATATTGCAATTTATTGCAAAAGCAAATTTTTCACTGCTATAAACTAAGTATTCATTAACTCAAAAATCAAGTGGTGATCCCAACTCATAAGCATATAATAGAAAAAAATTACTTTTGCTTAAGTTTTTATGCTCAGAATAAACATACATCAGGCACTCTCATTCCTTATAGCTGTTCAAAGAACACTGACAGCCGCCCACAAAAAAAAAAGAGCAACAGATCCACCTTTGGGGACAGGAGTTACTTTCTTCTCCAACCTAAATCAGAAAGAAAATGCTGCTCTTGGATACGCCACTTCACCCGGTGTGATTGTCCTCTTCTCTCATCACAGAGTCCTAAGCAGCTGGCTTCCATAGCCTGCGATTGCTGGTCCCCAAAGGAGCCCTACTAGCCAGCCAAACGGGACCAACGCCGGCGGGAGGACCACTTTTTCACCATGGCCCCTACGTTCCTGTCCTGTCTTCAAGACGCCTCTCAGCTTATCCTCGATGGATCAATCACTGGACACACTAAAGGACTTGGCTAAAGTACTAATTACTAACATCAAAGTCACTTTCTGTTTCCTCAATCGTCTTCTCAAGCCACCAAAACTCTGTCCACGCTTCACCGCGATGTGCACCCTGGCCAAACCCGCCTCGGACACTCACCCAGGATCCTGGTCGCGGACCCCACTTTATTTGCCTGGCACCCGGTAAATTCTCGTGAATGAATGTGGAAAGCGGCGTGGGTGGAGGCGGGAAGAGGGGGGCAGGTAGCATTTCAAGCTGCGACCCCTGCAGGGACGCCAGGACTGAGGAGGGTGGCACCGAGGCGAGTGGGAGAACTGGGGCCCGGGCCGGAGTCAGGGGATCGCGTCCGGGGCTCCACCACAGGCAGCGCTGTCGGCGGGACACGGGGCTGGGAAGACACGGCGCTGTCCCCGCAGGCCACCGCAACGCGCTCCCGGGCCTCGGCCTGAGCCTCCGCCTCGCCCCCGGACCCCAACCTCCCGCGCTCACGAGGTCCCGGCCGGTCACCCCTCAGAAGCCCAGGGCGGCCAGGGGACCCGCGCTAACTCACCTGACGCCCCGCGGACAGCACGGCGCTCAGCCTCCTGCGCGAGCCCGACAGCCTCTCGGATTCGCGAGATCAGCTGATTCGCGGGGGGCGGGGCCTCCGGCGGGGGCGGGGCGAAGGGGCGGGGGGAGATTGCACCGAAGTAGGCGGGATTAGAGTGGGAGACTATTGACGGCGTCCGGTAGGGATCAAAATTACTCGGACTGCGTTAGGCACTGAAGGCGGCGTTCTCATTTAAGGGCATTGCTCCTCGCTGAGCCCAGGCGCGACCACTAGTCCTAGGACGCGCTTTAGTGGTGACGTGAGTCCTCCAGCCTACGGATCCGTGGGTTTCCATAGCGACGGGCGGCCGTGACGGTGTGGGGTGATCCTGTAGTCATTTTATTACCACTTCAAATTGGAAGAGATGGAAGTATAAAAGTAAAAAGCCTGAAATACCTTCAAACTACCTTTTTAGATGGTACTGTAACCGTGATCGCTTCCGCCCTCCTTTCGAATGACGTCATCGCCTCGCGGCGCTCCTGTGTCCCGGTGCCTTCACTTGTTGGTCTAGATTTAAATCATTCGGAGGTTGTTTTCTGCTCCGAGGTCACCCCAACCAAAATTATCGAGTAAGATAGGAAGAAATAAATTATCCTCCCGTATGATACCCCAGTCTGAGTAAAATTCGTTTGCTTACCCCACACAAGTCTCAGCCTCAGCCCCATCCCCACCCCGCCTGCACCCCCAAGTCCTCCCTTCTTGGCACACAGTGAGTACGAACTCTGCTTCTAGGCAGTGTGCATGGCTGGACCTGCAAGCCTATATTTAAACGTGGATGACAGATGTGTGGTCAGGGTCTATCTCCTTCACGGCCTCAACTCAGCTGCCTTCCCAGTGCTCCGCCCAGCTAGAAAACTGTTATTCTGCGACAACCAACCTCATTCACTCCTGCACTAGTGCAGAAAATCGCACAACCCTGAGAATGGCCCCACTCGGGACGTCCACGCAGCCAGCCATTATTGCCGAGCCCAAAACAGTCATCTGTACATGCTACTCAGACTACCGCCTGCCGGCCTCCCTGCTATTCCCAGCCCTCCACTCTCCCAACTTCATTATTTCTGTCCTCCTACCCACTTGGGAAAAAATGAGAAACTTCGTCTCCTACATCTCCAAGTGACGTGAGAGTTGAATTTCCTTAATTTCTAGCAACCACTAATACAATCTACCTGCAACCCGAGCCCTCTCCATCTCCTAAGAAGCAGTTTTGCTGTGCAACCTAATTTTCTACTTCCACTTTTTTTTTTTCAGTACTGGGGTTTGAGCTCAGGGCCTCAGGCTTGCTAGGCAGGCACTCTACCACTTGAGCCACTCCACCAGTTCTGTTTTGTGTTGAATATTTTCCAGATAGGGTCTTGAGAACTATTTGCCCAGACTGGCTTTAAACCATGATCTTTCTAATCTCTGCCTCCTGAGTGGCTAGGATTGCAGATGTGAACCACCAATGCCAACACTACTTCCACTTTCTGACCTCTGTCTTCCTCACCCCAATCTGCAATTCTCTACTTTTTCACGTCTACTGAAAGCAATAGTCATCTCCTAATTTTGGAATCTAATGATATGGTCCTACAATGGAACTATTCTGTCCGATTAAAGAAAGAGGATTACAGGCATGTTGGAGCATCCCTGTAATCCTAGATACTCAGGAGACAGAGGTAGGAAGATCACAGTTGGGGGCCAGCCCAGGCAAAGTTAGGGAGACCCCACTGAGGCAGGCTAGAAGTAGGAAAAGTTTGGGGCTCATGTAGGTTGCCCAGGGACGACCCAGACCACACTCACTTGGCTGGGAACTGCCATGCCCCTCCCCATATTCATTATTGGGTGGGAACCTCCTGGGTCTGCTGTCCCCTTGGGTTAGTGGAGGTTTTAAAAGCATCTGGAAAAAAAAAACATAGTCTGTCAGCAGACTCCACGTGTACTCCACCTGTACCCCACCATGCTCCCTCTGTATTTCCCTTACCCTAACTTTTAATAAACCCCATTAACACCCACAGAACGCAAGGACCAAGGTCTTCTGAAAACACTGTTTTTTTGCTGTGAACGTTTGGTGAGCCAGCCAGGAGACTAATGGTGAGCTCCCAGACCCTACACTTTATTTTTATTTATTTATTTATTATTTTATTTTTATTATTCATATGTGCATACAATGCTTGGGTCATTTCTCCCCCCTGCCCCCACCCCCTCCCTTACCACCCACTCCACCCCCTCCCTCTCCTTCCAACCCCCCCAGTACCCAGCAGAAACTACTTTGCCCTTATCTCTAATTTTGTTGGAGAGAGTATAAGCAATAATAGGAAGGAACAGGGTTTTTGCTGGTTGAGATAAGGATAGCTATACAGGGAGTTGACTCACATTAATTTCCTGTGCGTGTGTGTTACCTTCTAGGTTAATTCTTTTTCATCTAACCTTTTCTCTAGTTCCTGGTCCCCTTCTCCTATTGGCCTCAGTTGCTTTTCAGGTATCTGCTTTAGTTTCTCTGTGTTGAGGACAACAAATGCTAGCTAATTTTTTAGGTGTCTTATCTATCCTCACACCTCCCTTGTGTGCTCTCGCTTTTATCATGTGCTCAAAGTCCAATCCCCTTGTTGTGTTTGCCCTTGATCTAATGTCCACATATGAGGGAGAACATAGGATTTTTGGTCTTTTGGGCCAGGCTAACCTCACTCTGAATGATGTTCTCCAATTCCATCCATTTACCAGCGAATGATAACATTTCGTTCTTCTTCATGGCTGCATAAAATTCCATTGTGTATAAATACCACATTTTCTTAATCCATTCATCAGTAGCGGGGCATCTTGGCTGTTTCCATAACTTGGCTATTGTGAATAGTGCTGCAATAAACATGGGTGTGCAGGTGCCTCTGGAGTAACCTGTGTCACAGTCTTTTGGGTATATCCCCAAGAGTGGTATTGCTGGATCAAATGGTAGATCAATGTTTAGCTTTTTAAGTAGCCTCCAATTTTTTTCTAGAGTGGTTGTACTAGTTTACATTCCCACCAGCAGTGTAAGAGGGTTCCTTTTTCCCCTCATCCTCGCCAACACCTGTTGGTGGTGGTGTTGCTAATGATGGCTATTCTAACAGGGGTGAGGTGGAATCTCAGTGTGGTTTTAATTTGCATTTCCTTTATTGCTAGAGATGGTGAGCATTTTTTCATGTGTTTTCTGGCCATTTGAATTTGTTCTTTTGAGAAAGTTCTGTTTAATTCACTTGCCCATTTCTTTATTGGTTCATTAATTTTGGGAGTATTTAGTTTTTTAAGTTCCCTATATATTCTGGTTATCAGTCCTTTGTCTGATGTGTAGCTGGCAAATATTTTCTTCCACTCTGTGGGTGTTCTCTTCAGTTTAGAGACCATTTCTTTTGTTGAGCAGAAGCTTTTTAGTTTTTGCAGTCCCATTTATCTATGCTATCTCTTAGTTGCTGTGCTGCTGGGGTTCCATTGAGAAAGTTCTTGCCTATACCTATTAATTCCAGAGTATTTCCTACTCTTTCCTGTACCAACTTTAGAGTTTGTCAGACCCTACACTTTGAAGGGTCACTGTCATTGTTTTCACTATTTTCCCTCTGCACTGCCAAGGGAATATGGCTAAGTTCTGTCCTCAGGGAAAGTAGCTGGGAAATTCTGGGTTGCAACACGAAAGGACTGAGAGTGTGGCTCTTAAGGCACTTGCCTTGCAAGCTCAAGGCCCAGCGTCCATCCTCAGTGCTGCAAAGGACAATGAAGCTGAAAGAAAGAGGGTGATCCGTGTGTACCGACCTGGAAGTTATGCTGTTAAGAGCGGGAAAGCTTCATATTGAGCTGTGTGGGGGACTCTCAATTACCTATGCGTGTTACCTATGTGGCTTTACAGGAGAGAGGTAGGTAGTTTAGAGACACATGGCATATATTCTCATCCTTGTATCTGCATATATTAGCTCTGAAAGGATACATTTAAGAATGGCTGCCACTGGGGAGGAGAATTAGGAATGAGAGTGAGGAAAACTTTTTCTTCTGTGTCATTTTGTGCTCTTTGATTTAATCCTGATTTTTAAAGACTTACTTCTAAAACTTTTAAACATGAGGGGTGGGGGCAGGGGGAGAAATGACCCAAGCATGGTATGCACATATGAATAATAAAACAATAAAAAAAATTTTTTAAATAAATAAAAATAAATAAAACTTTTAAACATGAAAAATAAAACTTTTAAACATGAAAACGGATATAATGGCTGGGGATGCAGCTCAGTGGTAGGATGCTTGCCTGTCATACGCAAGGCCCTGGTTTCAAACCCCAGCACCAGAAAACAAAAGAAAAGAGAAGCCAGGCATGGTGGTGCACACCTATAATCCCCAGAACTCTGAGGGCTGAGAGAAGAGTATCAAAAATTCAAGGCTTGCTATTCTGGTCTACATAACAAGACGAGAGAGAGAGAGAGAACAAAACAAATACACTACCTGACTTCAAAATATACAATAAAGCTATAGCAATCAAAGCAGCGTGGTAGTGCTTCAAACTAGACACATAGACAATTGGAGCAGAATAAAGAGCCTGGCAATAAACCCAAGCATCTATAACCAACTGATTTTGATTTGATTCGGTTGGGTGGGAGTGTGATTGTTTTGTTTTTTGAGTCAAGGTGTCACTAAGTAGCCCATGTTGGCCTGGAGCCTTGAACTCCTGAGTGCCTAGCATAAACCAACTGACTTTTGACAGAAGTGCTAAGAACATGCACTGGGAAAAGGATAATCTCTTTAATAAATGGTGCTGGTAAAATTGGATAGCTACATGCAGAATGAAATCAGACTTCTACTTCTCACAATGTCTGAAAACCAACTCAAAATGGATGAAAGATTTAAGTGTAAGACCCAAAACCATGAAATTACTAGAAGAAAACAGGAGAAACACTTCCTGATGTTCAAATGAGCAAAGATATTTTGGATAAGACATCAAAAGCAAAAATTGAGATCTAAGTTACATCAAACTAAAAATTTTTTGCACAACAAAGAAAACCAATGGTGGGGGTCCTGTGGGGGAGAA